ACATGTCTGGTCTTCTTACCGGATCGTCTACTTGCCGGTGTAGCGTCCACCGGGAGCATAACTCCAGGGTTTGGAGGATCTCAGATGAATTACATCAACAACGACGGTCTCTTCCTCGAATCCAACAACTCTGAATTTGGTTTCGGTTTCCAAACCACACCAGCTTCCGTTACTCTCTTCACACTCAGCATCGTCCACAAAAGCAGCTCAAGACTCATCTGGTCGGCGAACAGTGCTTCCCCTGTTTCCAATTCCGACAAGTTCTTATTCCAAGACAACGGAAATATCGTGCTGCGTTCAGGAGGAGAAGGAGGACCTGTGGTTTGGAGTTTGGATAATTCAGGCAAAAACGCTTCAAGAATCGAGCTCCGTGACTCGGGGAATCTCGTTGTTGTTTCAGGTAAGGGAACTTCGATCTGGGAGAGTTTTGATCATCCCACAGATACTCTGATTACGAATCAAGCTTTTAGAGAAGGCATGAAACTCACTAGCAATCCTTCTTCTTCGAGCAACATGACTTTTGCTCTTGAGATCAAATCAGGAGATATGGTTTTATCTGTCAACAGCTTGACTCCTCAAGTGTATTGGTCAATGGGAAACGACAGAGGGAAGATCATTAACAAAGACGGTGGAGTAGTGACTTCATCGTCTCTCCTCGGGAATTCGTGGCGTTTCTTTGATCAGAAACAGGTTTTGTTATGGCAGTTTGTATTTTCAGACAATAAAGATGATAACGCGACTTGGGTCGCGGTTTTGGGAAACACCGGTGTGATCTCTTTTTCGAATCTTGGAAGTGGTGCGTCTGCGGCTGATTCTTCCACTAAAATCCCGAGCGATCAATGTGCGACGCCTGAGCCTTGCGGGCCTTACTACGTCTGCTCTGGTAGTAAAGTGTGTGGATGTGTGTCCGGGTTGTCTCGAGTTCGGTCTGATTGCAAATCCGGGATCGCTTCCCCTTGTAAGAAATCCAACAATAATGCAACATTGCCTCTGCAACTTGTAAATGCTGGAGACAGTGTCGATTACTTCGCTCTCGGGTTCGCTCCTCCGTTCTCCAAGAAAACCAATCTTGATAGCTGTAAAGAGTTCTGCAATAACAATTGTTCGTGCCTCGGTCTTTTCTTCCACAACAGTTCTGGTAACTGCTTCTTGTTTGATTGGATTGGAAGCTATAAAAACTCTGGAAGTGGGGGATCTGGTTTTGTGTCTTACATCAAGGTGGCGACTAATGGTGTGGGAAATGGAGATAACGGAGAAGATGATGGGAAACATTTTCCTTATATAGTGATTATTGTCGTGGTGACGGTATTTATCATCGGTGTTTTGATCTTTGTGGCATTCCGGATTCATAAGAGAAAGAAAACGCTTTTGGATGATCATGGAGATCAGAGTTCAGAGGAGGATAATTTCTTGGAGAATTTATCCGGAATGCCTATCCGGTTTGCTTACAAAGATCTTCAGTCAGCGACGAATAACTTCTCGGTGAAGTTAGGTCAAGGAGGGTTTGGATCGGTCTATGAAGGGACTTTACCCGATGGTTCTCGTTTAGCAGTGAAGAAACTTGAAGGAATTGGTCAAGGCAAGAAAGAATTCAGAGCCGAGGTTAGTATAATCGGAAGCATTCATCATCTGCATTTGGTGCGGCTCAGAGGATTCTGCGCGGAAGGGGCTCATAGGCTTCTCGCTTATGAGTTCTTATCAAAAGGTTCGTTAGAGAGATGGATATTTAGGAAAAGAGGCGGAGATATTTTGTTAGATTGGGACACAAGATTCAACATCGCCCTCGGAACAGCTAAAGGTTTAGCATACCTACACGAAGACTGCGACTCAAGAATTATCCATTGCGATATTAAACCCGAGAACATCCTCTTAGATGATAACTTCAATGCGAAGGTATCCGATTTCGGACTTGCAAAGCTCATGACCCGCGAACAAAGCCATGTCTTCACAACAATGCGCGGTACAAGGGGCTATTTAGCTCCCGAATGGATCACAAACTACGCGATCTCAGAGAAGAGCGATGTGTACAGCTACGGGATGGTATTGCTAGAGCTAATAGGAGGAAGAAAGAACTATGATCCATCAGAATCTTCAGAGAAATGCCATTTCCCTTCTTATGCTTTCAAAATGATGGAAGAAGGAAAGCTTATGGAGATTGTTGATGGGCAGATGAAGAACGTGGATCTGAATGATGAGAGGGTTCAAAGAGCGATGAAAACCGCGCTTTGGTGTATACAAGAAGATATGCATTTGAGACCGTCGATGAGCAAAGTTGTTCAAATGCTGGAAGGAGTATTTCCAGTGGTTCAACCTCCTTCTTCTTCCACTTTGGGCTCGAGGCTTTACTCGAGCTTCTTTAAATCGATCAGCGAGGAAGGCGGTGGTACGTCATCTGGACCGTCGGATTGTAACAGTGAGAATTATCTCTCCGCCGTGAGACTCTCCGGTCCGAGATAGCAAATCTTTTTAGCCATACTTTTAGTATCTTATAATAGGTTTCTGGCTCACCATATCATATTTTGTTGTATATTATTGTTGTTGTGTTCAAAAGAATAGTTTCCTCAGTTTTGTAATGATCGATAGATTAAATGCACTACCTGTCGTTTTTCGTTACTTTCTTAGAACTGTTTGTCGTTTTGCATTCTTCTGTAGCGTCGCGCATTTAAACTGCGTGCCGTGTTCTTACTGCTCTCTCTGGAGAGTCGATTCCTGCTTTCTTATTGGCTAGAACTTATTCCTTACTATACGCTTGCGCGTAGACGATAGAATCTACCAATTATAGAAATTTGCTGGCTCTCGTCGGTGATTCTCGTCCCACCGTTGAAGATGACGACGATTTCGTCGCCGTTGGAAACTTCTCTTTTCCGGTCTTCTTCTTTCAAATTCAAATGCAAATTAGAATCTCCCGCGAAAACGCGACTATTCTCTCGGGCGACCGGGAAACATGTTGTTGTCAGATCGTCAAGAGCACTGCGTATCCGTTGCTCCTCCTCCGATGATCCTGGTAAGACTCGATTCTAGTACCGTGAATGTCGGAAACTACTTTTGTCTTTCGGATTTCGTGGTGACGAGATGTTTCCGTTTCTGCGTAATCTCTAGGTTCGACTCCTGTTTTCTTATCAAGTAGAAGAAAACTGGTGGTTTTGTTGTCCACTGTGCAGCTTCTGTCTCAGTTTCTTCCTCCAAATGGAAAAGCAGAGGAGTGAGTTTGAACAATTCTTGATTTTGGTTTTGTTCATTTCGATTACTATTGTTGTTATAGTTATCCAATTTTTGTGCTGATTTTTTCGGAATCGGACTTTTGGGGATTTCAAAGTATTCATTCAGTGATGCAAAACGAAATAAGGAAAGTTGTGACAAAGGGTAAAGCTGCTGGTGTGCTTCGTTTAGTGTTTCATGATGCCGGAACCTTTGAGCTAGACGATAATACTGGTAATTTTGCATGACTCAATCTAATCTCCTTCTCAGAATTTTAGTTCAATTTAGTTTTAGTCAAGTATACCTTTATCTACTGACTTGTTGTTGAGCAGACAAGTTTGGAAATGTAAAATTTGTTTGTTAGATTATATTTAGAATGGAAATTTGTGATTACCCTATGTTTTGTTGTACTTGGTTCTCTTTATTGACTTAGTTGAGCTAAACATGGAATGTTGAGAGTTCTAATTTGTTCACTTCAGATGTTTTCATCGTTCACAAGTTTAATCGACCTCGGTGTTAATTTGGCTTTGATGAACCAAGCTTGGTTAGTTTAGATTCAGTTTGCGATTTAGTACACTTCTGGTGGTGTTTTCCTTCTTTCTCAGTAAAAGATACTTATGTCTTATTTAGTTGAGTTGAATCCACTTTGTTGACACCATTTATGTCTTATTTGGTAACGAATTTAATTTCAGGTGGTATCAACGGGTCTATTGCTTATGAACTCGAGAGACCTGAAAACACAGGTTTGAAGAAATCCTTAAAGGCACTAAATCCCTCTCTCTTTTTTTTGTTCAGTTAGTGTGAACAAATAAAGATGTAAAATTCGCATCTAATTGATTGCCTTTTTGCACTTGTATCTCAGCTTAGTTAAATATGTTACTATCAAATAACTAATCTTCTTGGTAGATGGATTCTTCGTTAGGTTCTAGCAAAAGCAAAGGTTAATGTCGATGCGATACAACCTGGTAATTACTATTTGAACTATATACACCAAAGAAAATGTGTCCTGTTATGCACCTTGGTGAAAATTTTCTTAATTTCTGTGATTTTAGTGTCTTGGGCGGATATGATAGCTGTTGCTGGGTCTGAAGCAGTTTCAATATGTGGCGGCCCAACAATTCTAGTAGCTTTGGGAAGAACTGATACAACGTAAGAACGACATAAACGGTTTGTAGACTACATTCGATAGATCGCTGGTCACTGTTTCTTCTATATTTCCAACAGGATGATTGTTACAATGTTCACAGGCAACCTGATCCAGAAGGCAAGCTACCTCCAGAAACCCTGAGCGCTTCGGGTTTGAAAGAATGCTTTAAAAGAAAAGGATTTTCGTGAGTCCCTTAAACAAAGAGAACTGATAATTGTTTTCAACATGTTTTGTAACTTTGACATCTTTGGGGTTTGTGGTGCCATTGCAGGACTCAAGAACTTGTTGCCTTATCTGGAGCACATACGATAGGGAGTAAAGGCTTTGGAGACCCAACAATTTTCGACAACGCATACTACAAAATCCTTCTTGAAAAACCATGGACATCAGCATGTAAGTCTCCTTACAAAGTTCTCTAGTTCCTTTATACTCTACAGTTTCAATATGGTTTCTTTACAGTTTCCACTTTTGATGCAGCCAAAATGACGAGCATGGTCGGGCTTCCTTCGGATCATGCCCTTGTGGAGGATGATGAATGCTTAAGGTTTCCCATCTACAGAAAGTTCCTTACCTTTTATCTTTTTTAGTTTAGAATTCATTGACAAAAGTGGAAACTATTCAACTGATATAAGATTCGTGGTTTGATGCATAGGTGGGTGAAACAATATGCAGAAGATCAAGACAAGTTCTTCAAAGACTTCACCAGTGCTTATATCAAACTAGTCAATTCTGGGGCCCAAAGGAAATTGTTATGATGTATAATA